GGGGTGTCAAAGCCATTGACTTGGAGGACAGCAGCTCGATGCGGACGGAACCCGCGGCACCGCTGGGCCGGGCGTAGAGAACGGCTTCGTGGAACACAAGCAGGGTGTGGTTGTTCTGGCCCCGCATCCTCCAACTCCATAGGGACAGCAGAAGGCAGCGTGGCCGTCCTGTGCCACTCATCGAGCCCAGGGAGGCGCTAAGCTAAGAAACAGAAGAGATGCTAATGGAACTCGGGAAAGGGAGAGAGCAGGGGGTGTGGGCACGGGGGCAAAGGAGGCCAGGCAGTCACTCTAGAAGCTGAGTGACCAAGGCCCCTCCCCCTCCCCCGCCATCCCAAGATGGCGATGGCCTGCCTTCCCCACGGTGCCTTAGCCGGAGCTGGAGATGTGGGTGGTGTTTTTCGGGTAACCCCATCCAAGCCCACAAAGCCCCCTAAAAGCCTCCCTTGCTTGTCGCATTATGAAAGAATCGATGTGCCAGCTTCCTCCCCTCCCAAAGGCTCAGACTTCCCTCTACAAAGTAGCCCTGCCTGCCTAGCAGCAGAGGAGTAGGTTTATCTTAGGGTGAGAGGTGGGGAAGGGGGTGGGCCACGGGAAAGCGTTCCCTCCGCAGTGAGAGTAAAGGAAGATGCAAAGTCTCAGCACAAACTTCCCATCTGAGATCAAGAAAGATTGAGGAGAGTAAGGGGGTCGCTTTCCCTCAGAACCGCTGGTGGGTTCAAACCACTGACCTTTCAGTCAGCAGTCACATCTTTAACCATTCTCCCACTGGGGTGCCTCCAGCAGCAAATCTCCGGCTTGGCTGCCTATTAGGATCCTTGGAAGCACTTTCACACAGTCATTGCCCCAGAGCCTTAGACCAGGGCTTCAAGCCCGTTCATTCTGGTCCCAACCTCTGCTAAGGCATTGCATTTCCATCCCAGATATTCCGGACCAGAGCCTCTATCTTTGCACGCTCTCTGGGTGGTCCGGAGGTAAGAACTAAACAGGCTCACCAGTGCACAAGACTTGGAGTTCCAAGCATGCCCTGGGAGATCCAGAACCCCTTTGGTTCCCTGCTCAATTTCCTTGCAGGATTACCAGTCAAACTGGACAGGCTAGAATCTACATGGGTTTTTCTAGAGAATGTTTAGAGGTGCAGGCAGCACTGAGGGTTAAGCACCAACTGTGAAGGGGAGGGTTAGTGGTTCAAACCAACCTAGTCGGAGAAAGTCCCAGTGACTCACTTCCATAGAGATTGCAGCCTGCAAAAGGCCCAATGGGGCGACTCGCTTCTGTTTCAGGGGGTCATTCAAGCTGGTTGGAATCAACTCAATGATAACCAACAACATGCTTCCGTGTAGATCCATGGAGCCGATGCATTGGAATTAGGGTGTTAGCAAAGGATCCTGACTAGACTCAACACCAGGGGTCCGCAAACGTTTTAAACAGGGGGCCAGTTCATTGTCCCTCAGACCCGTAGGGCCGGACTATAGTTAAAAAAAAAAAAAACTATTAACAAATTCCTATGCACACTGCACATATCTTATTGTGAATTAAAAAAAAACGGGGCAAAAACACATAGTGGGCCGGATAAATATCCTCGGTGGGCCGCATGTGGCCTGCGGGCTGTAGTTTGAGGAGCCCTGCTCCACACAAACAAATCTGCCTGGGAAGAAGGGATAGCCAGAATACCTCTCGAGCGAGGGTGGCCAGGCTTCGTCCCATGTACTTTAGACAGGTCATCAGGAAGAGAGGCATCGTGCTGGGTACAGTCGAAGGAGAGGCAGAGCATTGAGGAGATGGATGGATTCAAGTGCAGTGATCGTAGGCTGGCACTAAGCTGAGCTGGATTGCTTTCTGCTCGATGCAGAAGTGAGAGAAGTTGGCACCCAACACCAACCACAGGTACCCACTGTGCCTGTCTGAAGAGCCTCTGCTTAGGCCTATTGCAAGGGGTGCCTTCTCAGCGGCTTCGGAGACGGAGGGAAAGTCCAGGGTGTGCTCCCGGTCTTCACACCTAGAGGGCACTCATCTGTCACGCTTCAGTGCGGAGCATCTGGGACACTAGTGTGAAATGCTGGTGGCAGATGGCCACTCAGGGGAGACCTCGCTGGTCTTCCGATAACACTGGCCTTGGCTTCCAGGTGGCTGCCTGGGATGCGGCTCC